ATCGTTCCTTGTTTTGTTTTCTCCCTATCTTGAATCTTCTTCTACCTTTAGTTACATGATCAATAAATTCTGGAACATCAAGCTCGCCGTCTCTTCCTCGAATCCACAAAGCCTCCAACCCTCCGAAAACAATCCTTCACATATTCATGATACCCATTCTGATTCAAACTCAATCGACCCATCCTCATCTACCGCCGTCTCAACCCAAACCGTCAAAAGCTCACAAGCCTCCGTTCAACATCCCCCTGAATCTCCTGAAAACTGGCGAAAACAAGAAACTTATGAAACCGCCCAAACTCTCAAAGAGAAACAGAAACAGATGGAAGAGCAAGTCTACAGAATCTGGACCGTCCTATCCACCTTCGAAGAGAGCAGTGCGGCTTGTATCAGTGAGATGCTCCGTCATGTCAGCAGTGGTCTCTATCTCGAGGGCGTCCGAATGGCTGGCAAGTTCGTCCTCCATGTCGAAACACTCTTTGCAGCTATCGACGACCTGGACGTCATCTTCCGAAGTAAAAATGCACAGGGTCCGTCCAAAATATTTCTGTTTCAACTCTCCCTTCATCCAGTTCCATGACTGACCTGGCCATTCCCCCGTATCCCATCATCAGAGATCTCTCATGTACGAGAAGCCAGGATGCTTTGTAAAAAAATCGTCAATTTCTTCTCTCTCCTATCACACACTCACGAGACCGGTGCTCGCAAGATGAGCATCACCAAAGAGCTACTTTCTCTTGTCACCGGACTGGCACATTATCTCAAGATTCTGATTCGGATCGCCTTGACCAGTGCACTGAAACTAGAACGAGAATACTCTGACCGGAACGGGATACTACAATTCTTGAGTCGGCTCGACCGTCTAGCAAGAGATCCCGATGCTTCGAAGGCCACGACTGGTCAACCATCTGCTCCACCCGATCGCACTGGACCTTCGTCAAGCCAAAATGCCAACACAGCCTCAGCAAATGGCAAACTGCGCCCGTATGGGTATAAAAGCTTGACCAGGGCCGTTGGGACACTGGTAGGAAAGGGTGAAGCAACGACAGACTTGTGTGAGGGGTGTAAGCAAACAGTTGAAGAGGAATGTGTTCGATTCGGGACGAGTGCACGATGGCATACGGCATGTTTGAAATGCTCGACCTGTCAACGACCTGCGATTAAACCTGAAAAACCTGCCAACCAGCTCACCCCGACCGACAATCCACCCTCGTGCCAACTACCCCCAATTCCTGTGAAACGCTTCAAGGCCGACGTCCAAGCACCTCGTGAAGGTACTCGGCTGAAATTTGTACATATTTACTGCGACGAATGCGCTGCGATCGCTACTCATAACCAGAATCTCCCTCCTGTCACCTTGAAAGATGGCTTTGAATCAGTCACCCGTCTCGAACAATATGCTTTCTTACTCTGTGTTGCTCTCAATAAACTCTATGGCTTGCTCAAACAGCGGGGCATTTTACCAGCTTCAGCAGGTCCGCCTTTCCTTTTCATTCTAATTGCAGCTCATCAGGTTGTGGCTAATTGATCAAACAATTCCATTTGTATTAGATGATCCTCGCTTCACCCAGATGAATGGGGACGAGAGGTCGTTATATGATGCTTATCGGAACTCGACTGATATCAAGCGGATGAAGTCTGTAGATTTAGATCGGAAGCTGTCCACTACAGCACGCATACCCCAGCGGTCGACTGTTGTAGAGAGTCCGTCAGGGCGAGTAGCCCAATCAACAAACGAATCCCAGCAGCAGCAGCAGCAGCAGCAGAACGGTGGTGGACATGGATCGTCATCGCTACGGCCGAACGATCCGGCCATTCGACAGTCAAGTAGTCGGTCACCCGTCGGTCCAATTCGTCAGACTCAGGATCGCCAGCGTCCTAGTATCACACATCCCACCAGGGAGCGCGATTTTACTAATCTGCCGCGAACCGAACCGCCTCCTAGGCCACCGCCGACTCATCTCAACCTGATACCTCAAGGCAATGGAGCCCATCTGAATTACCCCACCTCATCGATGCTGGTGGCCTCACCACCAGTTTATGGGGATCTGAGCAAGCAGCAGTACACCACTGATGTCCGCCCAGCCCTTGCTCGGAACCTGACCGCAGTCAGGATCGTGAACGACCATCCGGGGCCGAATGAGTTGATGGGACGAGACGAGCCCCGACTGGGCAGTTCGACCAGCCCGGTCGGCCGAGATACCGAGGGGATCACCCTCGCCGACCTACCTCGGGCTATGGAAGCCGAGCAGTTCAGGGAGCAGCAGAAACCTCTCCCCACTCAAGTCGCCACCCTCTCGGAGCTCTCCGCACTTGAGTCGGTTATCGTCAAGCACGTCGCCGCTCTGACTCTTGCTAGTGAGAGCTCAGCCATCAAGGACGATACCTCACTGGACGAACTGCTGGAAATTATCGAGGCTCGGAAGGGTAACTTCTGGGGCAAACTGTTCAAGGGTGGTAACGATAAGGCTAAGATTAAGAAAAAGGGTAAGTGGTAGATCGTTTGTTTGGGGAGCGTTTTATGTTCAACAAGAAACATGATTAACAGTTGGATATATATCATATTGCACCAGGTGTTTTCGGGGTACCATTGGACGTATTGATCGAGAGACATGGAGTTGATTCTCTACTAGGGGCAGGAGCAGGCCAGTTACGTGTACCAAGTTTTGTCGACGACTGTATTTCGGCGATGAAGCAGATGGACATGTCGGTTGAAGGCGTGTTCAGGAAGAATGGGAACATCCGTCGACTCAAGGAGCTTACCGACGCTATCGATCGCGACGACTCTAATGTGAACTTCAGCGACGATAATGCCGTCCAACTTGCCGCCCTCTTGAAAAAGTTTTTGAGAGATCTCCCTGATCCTCTCTTGACTTTCAAGTTGTATCACTTGTTCATTGCTTCTCAACGTAGGTCTTCATTTTTTGTTTCCCCCTAGATTTATCATTATGGATATCTCATGCTCTACATCGTTTAACTCAACAGGGGTCGAAAATGATGCCGCACGACGGAAAACACTGCATCTGATATGTTGCTTGCTACCAAAGGCGCACCGAGACACGATGGAGGTGCTGTTTGTCTTTATGAAATGGGTGGCCTCATTCTCACATGTGGATGAGGAGACGGGCTCGAAGATGGACCTGCAGAACCTGGCGACGGTCATCACACCAAATATCCTCTACGCCCGCTCGAAGGATCCGACAAGAGATGAATCCTTCCTAGCCATTCGAGCCGTTAACGAGCTGCTCGAATATCAGGACGAGCTCTTCCAGATGCCTCCAGAGGTCCAGCTGATCATGCAAGATCAAGAACTGCTGAGCTCAAACATGAATGAGATCACCTCCAAAGATAGTTAGTCACCACTCATTTTTTTTTTATTAGATCTTCTCATCAAACAGTGTTAATCTGACTTGATTAATGTAGTATTGAAGCGAGTCGAAGCTCTGTTGAAAGCCAACCATGGCAAACTGCGTGCACCAGGAAAAGTGGGCACAGAGCACTACCGGGGAAAGGGAGAAGTCCAGCCGCACCGGCCGGACCTCCACGCCTCGTCGGTACACCAGAGCGACGGCGCGCGGGCCGAGCAGCAGCAGGGCCGGACGGCCCAGTATGCCAATGGGCATCCCGCCGAACCCAATGGCTACCCCGGCTCCCCTGCCCTCGGTCCTCCCACTCCCAATCGGCCCCTCGACCCCGCCGCTCATCTCCACCACCAGCTCAGAGAATCTTCCCTACATTCCCCCTCTCAGCAACGACACAGCTTCCATCGCGACCAAACTGCTCTGCCTTCCTCCTCCTCATCCGGTCCTTCTCTCCCCCATCCATCCTCAAACTCTTCTTCGAAGCTTCCCTCACCCTCCTCTATCACTCATCTCCCTGCTTCTTATCCCCCTCATCCTCCCCCTCATCCTTCTAACCTAAATTCAAATTCGAATACGAATCCATCTTTCTTTCCTAACGATAACTCTTCTCTTAATCCTTCGTCTACTTCTTCCTCCACTGCTCCTGTCAATCAACAGAATACCATCCCTCTCGATCAACGCTCCGTAGGTTAATCTTTATTTTTTTTATTTTTTCTTTTATATCATTTCCTGTCTTTCCTTTTCTTTTTTTATATCATCTCTTTTTTGATTATCATTGGCTACTCTTACATATATGTTTATGTATTTGAGTTCACACACATATATATATATACTATCAACATCTTTACATTTTTTTCAACTGCTACTGTTTTGTATGTCGTCTTTTTTTATCCATCTCCTTCTTTCATATCTCCTTTGATCATCATCTCCTCATATACTTTTTTTTGAATACAATACAATACAATACACCATTCCATTCCAATCCAAGCCAAAGAAAGCTCTATACATCTATATTTATATACAATCATCATTACTACAAACATACAAAACAACCAAAAATACACACACACACAACATATGTACACATATACTTGAAACATCCACTTACCTTTTTTGTTTTGAAGGGGTTTTCATATGTTTTAATTGGTGGAAAGTATAAGGTATAATGATAGAGATCTGTGTATTTTGCATATATATATATATATATATATACATATTTGTATGAGAGGGAGAATGTGTGAGGACCAAAGTGAGGTGTCATTTCAAATTCAGTGAAAAAAAAAGGCATTGACAGTTTTTATTCTTTGTGCATTGTGATTGGCTAACCATGATGGATAAAGGTTGACTTGATATTCATAGCAGGGTAGGTTGACAGTGACCCTATGCGCCCAACCCTAAACCCAAGCTGTTTTTGGGGTCGGGCGTGGGCAGCCTGGTGGCAAATCTTCACCAGTCTCAGAGCCACCGGCCTGGTATTTATTGGGTGGGGTTTGGGTGGCTATGTTTTTTTGTTTTTTGCTTTTTTAGTGCTGATTGAGTTGGAATTGTGCACTGTAGTGATTGCTATATTGACAAAGAAATATTCATAACTTTATAAGTGAGTGATAAATAATAACAACTTTGAAAGAGAAAAACAAAAATGTGCTTAAAAAAGTAAGATAAACATGAAACATCTGTCTCTGACTGTCAAGACTAAACCCCTCATATGAAGCCGAGCTTGATTATATTTTGTCATTACAGTGGCGCAACCCATGTTACTGTACACCATCACCAGCAAAAAAAAATTGGCCTTGTGGCCTAATGTTTGTAAGCACTTGGGGTCCATCACCCATTTTTATTGTAGATTTGGGCTTTTTGAGGGCAGTAGCTTCCATAGTTAAAAGGGCTAAGCCCCCACTGCTCCAACAAAAAAGTTTTTTTTATTTGGGGTCAACATTTCAGAATCCATGGGCTTAAATGCCCTACAGTCTCATATTCATGTACTTAACTCTGATAACACATAAGTATGGTTTCTCCCACCAAAGCTATGTGCATAAATTTTAACCTAGATTACATTTTTGTTGCTGCCAAACATGATAATTTGACTCTGGGATGTTATTTTTTCCAAATAAGTGGCAAAAGTTGCACAAATTCTGAAATTTCCAAGCCCCAAAACCTCAATTTTCCCCGGATCCTGCCCTTCCCAGGGCAGATTTTCTTGATTTTTTTCCTCCATACATTTCGGAACCCCAAAATCCATGTACAGTAGGATGGGTTGCGCCACTGTACTGCGGCCCAGACAGTGTGTTATGTGGTTGCTCAAGCCACATTCCCTAGATTCTACTCCGCAAAAGGATAACAGAGCCCAGCCTAGAGTTAGGATCCAGCCCAAACAATCCAATTTTGAACAAAGGATAACATGTAAGTCACTTGAGAAAGTTTTGATTTTTTTTTTCAAAAAAATAACACAAAAGTATGGAGGTACTGAACAGCCACTTTGGCCAAAAAAAATGAAAAATTGCAAAACCCAATTTTCAAACAAATATCAGTGATTCCAACCACCAAGTTGGCCAAGTGGATCTGACACGTATGTCATACACCCTGACGATACATCTTAGACATTCCAATACATACATAACTATGCAATAAGCTCCCTGTAGAGCTGGCCCCGGCACATCCGGATATCCGTTCGGATTTGGATATCCGCTCACGTTTTCAGAGTTTTGGCAATTGGATCCTTCGGTCCCAAACCAAAGATAATGGTGTCATTATCATCGGTTTGAAACCAAAGAAGAAGCAGATCTGGGTGAGCTGGGTGAGCTGGGTAAAAACCGGTTTTGCCAATTTGTTTTATAAAAAAAAACAGCCATAACCAACCTAAACCCTAACCCTAAACCCTTAACCTAACCCTAACCCTAAACCTAACCCTAAACCTAACCCCCCATTGAAGCAGGGGCCATTGGATTTCCGACAACTCCGCCAGGTCCCCAATGGACCCACAATGATAGAACTCGAGACGAAGTTCGCAGAAGATGAATGAATACTTTTCATGTCTATGTGTAGTAACAACTATATATATACATGAAAAGATGGAAATGAATAGGTCTAGATGAGTCTCACTACTCGTGACCTAGTTAGGGCACAACACTCCCCCCTCAGCTAGACACCAAGCATAATTCTCCCCCGGAATTTCTCAAAGGGGTCCTTAGTTAGCGCTTTTGTGAGGATGTCTGCCAGTTGCTCTGTTGTCGGCACCCAGACTATATCAGTTTTCTTCTCAAAAATCGCTTGATTAGTTAGAAAGAATTCTCGGTCAACATGTCGGACTCTTTTATTTGCCGAGTCGTCCGTGCTGACCCTGATTGCTGCCTGGTTGTCGCAGTGAAGGTGTCCCGTGAAATCTTTCTTAAGAATATCCGTGAGCAAATGTCTAACCCATAGAACTTGCCTGGTTCCAATCCCAAGTGCCATGTACTCCGCCTGGCACGTGGAGGCAGCTATAGTCGCAAACCTACGAGAAGTCCAAAGAACTGGGCAACCGCAGAAAGTGATCAGTATTCCGTATGTGGACCTAGCCAGTTCTCCTCCCCATGATGCGTCCGCAAAGCATTTTAGGGCTTTGGGTTGGTCCGTAGGAAATAGGTTGAGTTGGATTTCCCGTGAGTCGGCCAGGTACTTGATGAGATGTTTCACACCCTTCCAGTGGTTTACACCTGGTTTGGCAGAGAACCGCGCCAAACTATTGACCGAGTAGGCTATATCTGGCCTAGTACCCACCGCAAGATAACTTAGCGAGCCAATAATAGAAAGAAATTTAGTAGAATCTGCTGCTATTCCATCGGGGTCAGTTACCAGCTCAAGTGCAGTAGGAAGGGGTGTTTTCGTGGTCATTACTCCATCCCAGTGGTCTCGGAGGATTTGGTCGATGAGTTTGGGTTGTCGGAGTTGAAAACCCTTTTTTGTCCGCTGGATCTCAAGACCAACTATTGATTCCAGTCCGTCTGTCCATTTGATTTGAAGTATGCCCTTCAGTTCCAATTCCAGCTTTCTGAGTAGAGTATCGGACGAGCCCGTAACAATACCGTCATCGACATGGATCCACACTATACCTATTTCTGTTGGGTGCTGTAAAGTATAGAGTGAGTTGTCATATTGGCTAGCTTTGTACCCTAGGCTCTCCCAGTATACTCTTCAGATGTAGCCACCAACACCTTGCCGCTTGTTTGGTTCCGTATAGTGCCTTATGCAGTTTCATTGCATGTCCCGGAGGCAGGTTCATACCTTCAGGGGCCTTCACCCAGACCTCTTCGTCGATAGGAGAATTGAGGTATGCTGCTACAAAATCAAAAGATCGAACCGGCCAATTGAACTTCGCTGCCAGCGATAGCAGTAATCTCATGGACACGAAAGTCGCTGTCGGTGCGAAAGTCTTGTCGAAGTCATAGCCTTCTACTTGGGTGAAGCCTTTTGCCACATACCTCGCCTTCCATCGCACAACTTCCGACTTGTCGTTTGATTTTTTCGCAAAAACCCATCTGCCATCGAGTGGTCGTTGTCCTTCTGGTATTGGTAGAGCCGACCATACCTTCATCCGAAATAAGTTGCTAAGTTCTTCTTCAATCGCCTCCTTCCACTTATCCCATTGAGCTGATTTTTGCGCCTGTTTGAAAGTCCTCGGGACCGTGGCTGCAAAAATTGAGCATTCTTGGAGTAGGCGATCGACTACAAGTTCCTGTTGTATTATCAGTTCATCGTTTGAGTGGTCACCTAGTATTAATTGATTCATGACGAAATCCAATTTGTGTTTGGTCGAGGGGACGATGACTTGTTCATCTGGGGTCTTCACTTCTTCAGGCTTCACTCGCGGTTTGTAGGTTGGCCGTTTCTCATGCCAGTCAACGACACCGGAAGCTATCAACTTGCCTGAATCCTTCAGTAGGAACACCCATCCCTTGCTATCGTCACATGTTGCTACGACTCTGCCTTCTAGAGCTCTGACGTTGAGTTTCTTGCGTTTTTCTTCAAAGACGTGAACATAACCAGTCTCACCAAAAATCCGGCTCCTGTCAAAGCAAGGCTTGTATCCATAGAACGCTTCGAATGGTGTCTTCTCCCCGCTGCTTTTGTTTGGTATCCTGTTCAAAGTATCACTCGCCCATATGTAGCTGAATCCCCAGAAGGATTTGTCAAAACCGCTGTCGATCAGTAGAGTTCTGCCCATTTCGCTAAGTGTACGATTGTATCTTTCGATCGCCCCATTCTGAAAATGATGGTAAGGAAGCGCTCTCTCTGGTGTAATTCCTTTTGAGATCAGAAATGAGATGAAGACATTACTACTGAACTCTCCACCGTTGTCGCTGCGCATGATTTTCACCCTATCGCCTGTGATGTTTTCCCATCTGTTGATTGTCTCGATGACTAGTCCTCCGGCTTGATCCTTTGTAGTCATCACTTTAGCTTCGCTAAAACCCGTTCCTAGATCTCTGATGGTCAGTATGTATTGTCCCCCATTGATACTTGGTACTTGGAATGGTCCTATGATATTGGCTGATACAATGGTTAGCCTGGTAATGATTCTATCCGATGGTGAAAGCCTGTTCTTAAGCAAACTCTTACTGATTGCACATGTTGAACATTTGAAATCTCCGCCGGGTAAAGAGACCGGAAGGTCAACCCCGAGTCGGTACTTGCACATGTGTCTGATCTTCCTGAGGCTCGCGTGGCCGAATAACCTATGGTAGTATAAAAGTAATCTCTCATCGTTGCTCAAGTCTTTAGTATCATCAGCGTACTTCTCATTTGGCACATCAAGGGGCACAAAGAAATCGACATTTAGTTTAAGTCGCTCTTTGGTGGTCATGGGACAGAAAAATGGGTTGATGGTAGATTGCATATCAAGCTGAGCACAATATGATGTAGGCATAGTATTGACAATAGGAGAAGGAAAAATCCATTTGTTGTGACTTCGGACAAAAGGACAAGAGAAGATATGAGTGCGATCCTTGCTGTAGATATTGTAGCAGTCCTGTTTAATGTCATAGTTGAAATATGCATCAGCTTTGCGAATTGCAGCTAGAGATATCAAGGTGCTCCTCGCTAGCTTACAGTAGAGCACTCCATGGATGGTTACGTTCTGGTTATCAACACCTCTGAAACCGGAAGTCCCCTTGGCCCAGTGGATATAGGCCTTGGTTT